CCCTACCCGAAATGAGTGACAAACGGTGACTCACCGAATGACTCACGGCCTACCCGTACCCGGCCGCACCAGGGTCGCAAACGGCTACCCGTACCCGTACCCGGCCGGGTACGGGTAGCCGTTCCCTACCCGCACCCTACCCGAAATGAGTGACAAACGGTTACTCACCGGTGACTCACGGCCTACCCGTACCCATACCCGGCCGTACCAGGGTCGCAAACGGCTACCCGTACCCGGCTGGGTACGAGTAGCCGGGTATCGGGTACGGTACGAGTATCGGGTACCCGGTTGCGGCCTCTGGTCGCTGCACAAGCCTCTGATCGGCCACGTGGCGGAACCCGGCGAGGCTTTCCTCCCGGCACGCCGCTAGTCAGCGGTGGGATCGGGGAGTGGGTGAGAGAGGTGAACAGAGAGAACGGCTCGTCCCCGGACGTAGAGAGAGAAGGGGAGTCACACGGGGAGAGCGGCGGAGTGAGCTGTGCAAGAATTCACTCAATAAAAGACGCCAGTCAAGATCGTCGTTGGAAAGTCGTTTATTGCACTATTATACTACACTATACACTACACTATACACTACACTATATACTACACTATACACTACACTATACACTACACTATATACTACACTATACACTACACTCTACACTACACTATACACTATACTATACACTATACACTACACTATACAATACACTACACTATACACTACACTATACACTACACTATACACTACACTACTATACACTACACTATACACTATATACTACACTATATACTACACTATACACTACACTATACACTATACACTACACTATACACTACACTATACACTACACTATACACTACATTATATACTACACTATACACTACACTATACACTACACTATACACTACACTATACACTACACTATTATACTACACTATACACTACACTATTATACTACACTATACACTACACTATATACTACACTATACACTACACTATATACTACACTATACACCACACTATACACTATACTATACACTACACACTACACTATACTATACACTACACACTACACTACACTAAATACTACACTATACACTACACTATATACTACACTATACACTACACTATACACTACACGATACACTACACACTACACTACACTATACACTACACTATACACTACACTATATACTACACTATACACTACACTATATACTACACTATACACTACACTATATACTACACTATACACTACACTATACACTACACTATACACTACACTATACACTATACTATACACTACACACTACACTACACTATATACTACACTATACACTACACTATATACTACACTATACACTACACTATATACTACACTATACACTATACTATACACTACACTATACACTATACTACACACTACACTACACACTACACTATACACTACACTACACACTACACTATACACTACACTATACACTACTACACTATACACTACTACACTACACTTAACACTACACACTACACTATACACTACACTATACACTACACTATACACTACACTATACACTATACTACACACTATACACTACACTATACACTACACTATACACTACACTACACACTACACTACACACTACACTACACTATACACTACACACTACACTACACTATACACTACACTATACACTAAACTACACTATACACTACACTACACACTACACTACACACTACACTACACTATACACTACACTATATACTACACTATACACTATACACTACACACTACACTATACACTACACTATACACTACACTATACACTACGCTATACACTACACTACACACTACACTACACACTACACTATACACTACACTACTACACTATACACTACACTATACACTACACACTACACTATACACTACACTATACACTACACTATACACTATACACTACACTATACACTACACTATACACTACACTACACACTACACTACACACTACACTACACACTACACTATACACTACACTACACACTACACTATACACTACACTACACTATACACTACATACACTACACACTACACTACACACTACACTATACACTACACTACACACTACACTATACACTACACTATACACTACACTATACACTACACTATACACTACACTACACACTACACTACACACTACACTATACACTACACTATACACTACACTATACACTACACTATACACTACACTATACACTACACTATACACTACACTATACACTACACTACACACTACACTATACACTACACTATACACTACACTATACACTACACTACACACTACACTATACACTACACTATACACTACACTATACACTACACTATACACTACACACTACACTACACACTATACTATACACTACACTACACACTACACTATACACTACACTACACACTACACTATACACTACACTACACACTACACTATACACTACACTATACACTACACTATACACTACACTACACACTACACTATACACTACACTATACACTACACTATACACTACACTATACACTACACTACACACTACACTATACACTACACTACACACTACACTATACACTACACTATACACTACACTATACACTACACTATACACTACACTATACACTACACTATACACTACACTACACACTACACTATACACTACACTACACACTAGACACTATACACTACACTATACACTACACTATACACTACACACTACACTATACACTATACACTACTACACTATACACTACACACTACACTATACACTACACTATACACTACACTATACACTACACTATACACTACACTATACACTACACTATACACTACACTACACACTACACTATACACTACACTACACACTACACTATACACTACACTACACACTACACTATACACTACACTATACACTACACTATACACTACACTATACACTACACTATACACTACACTACACTACACACTACACTATACACTACACTACACACTACACTATACACTACACTATACACTACACTATACACTACACTATACACTACACTATACACTACACTACACACTACACTATACACTACACTACACACTAGACACTATACACTACACTATACACTACACTATACACTACACTACACACTACACTATACACTACACTACACACTACACTATACACTACACTATACACTACACTACACACTACACTATACACTACACTACACACTACACTATACACTACACTATACGCTACACTACACACTACACTACACACTACACTATACACTACACTATACACTACACACTACACTATACACTACACTATACACTACACACTACACTACACACTACACTATACACTACACTATACACTACACTATACACTACACACTACACTACACACTACACTATACACTACACTATACACTACACACTACACTACACACTACACTATACACTACACTATACACTACACACTACACTACACACTACACTACACACTACACTATACACTACACTATACACTACACACTACACTACACACTACACTACACACTACACTACACACTACACTATACACTACACTATACACTAATGCTGTATTCGTGACGAATTGGCACGTTCTGTTTACGTGACAACCCTTACGAGTTGGCTGTGTCGGGTGGTGGCGGGTTTAACAACACATTTATATATTTACGCGATCTACCCCCAACCCCCCCAACACCCCCCCCAACCCCCCAGACCCCCCCCAACCCCCCTTACTGTGACGTAGCGAGAGAGGGTGGAGCCTTGAACCTGCCCACGTGACCACCGCGTCAGGAAGTTGATCCTCCGCTTTCGTTTTAACTCAGTCGACTTTCGTTCGTCGCGCAGTCGATGACAAAATAAAGTAAATAAAAAGCGCCGCGGGCGGTGGAGTTGTGAGAGATAAAAAGTCAATAATAATAAGTAAATATTAACAATAATAAGTAAATATTAACAATAATAAGTAAATATTGACAATAATAATAAGTAAATATTGACAATAATAAGTAAATATTAACAATAATAATAAGTAAATATTGACAATGATAAGTAAATATTGACAATAATAATAAGTAAATATTGACAATAATAAGTAAATATTAACAATAATAAGTAAATATTGACAATGATAAGTAAATATTGACAATAATAATAAGTAAATATTGACAATAATAAGTAAATATTGACAATAATAATAAGTAAATATTGACAATAATAAGTAAATATTGACAATGATAAGTAAATATTGACAATAATAATAAGTAAATATTGACAATAATAAGTAAATATTAACAATAATAAGTAAATATTGACAATGATAAGTAAATATTGACAATAATAATAAGTAAATATTGATAATAATAAGTAAATATTGACAATAATAATAAGTAAATATTGACAATAATAAGTAAATATTAACAATAATAAGTAAATATTGACAATGATAAGTAAATATTGACAATAATAATAAGTAAATATTAACAATGATAAGTAAATATTGACAATGATAAGTAAATATTGACAATAATAATAAGTAAATATTGACAATAATAAGTAAATATTAACAATAATAAGTAAATATTGACAATGATAAGTAAATATTGACAATAATAATAAGTAAATATTGATAATAATAAGTAAATATACATCCGCATCGATCGAGGCGCCATTTTGCATTGGCGTCAGAGCGGAGGTGCCGGGTCCAAAATGGCGAAGAAGGAGTTCTGCAGCCGTCTGGAGGGTGAACCCCCTGTCTGAGTCTGTGGGTCTGTCTGTGTGAGTCTATGGGTCTCTGTGTGAGTCTGTGGGTCTGTCTGTGTGAGTCTATGGGTCTCTGTGTGAGTCTATGGGTCTCTCTGTGAGTCTGTGGGTCTCTGTGTGAGTGAGTCTATGGGTACTCTCTGTCTGAGTCTGTGGGTCTGTCTGTGTGAGTCTATGGGTCTCTGTGTGAGTCTGTGGGTCTCTGTGTGAGTCTATGGGTCTCTGTGTGAGTCTATGGGTCTCTCTGTGAGTCTGTGGGTCTCTGTGTGAGTGAGTCTATGGGTACTCTCTGTGTGAGTCTGTGGGTCTCTGTGTGAGACTATGGGTCTCGGTGTGAGTCTGTGGGTCTCTGTGTGAGTCTGTGGGTCTCTGTGTGAGTCTATGGGTCTCTGTGTGAGTCTGTGGGTCTCTGTGTGAGTGAGTCTATGGGTACTCTCTGTGTGAGTCTGTGGGTCTCTGTGTGAGACTATGGGTCTCTGTCTGAGTCTGTGGGTCTGTCTGTGTGAGTCTATGGGTCTCTGTGTGAGTCTGTGGGTCTCTGTGTGAGTCTATGGGTCTCTGTGTGAGTCTATGGGTCTCTCTGTGAGTCTGTGGGTCTCTGTGTGAGTGAGTCTATGGGTACTCTCTGTGTGAGTCTGTGGGTCTCTGTGTGAGACTATGGGTCTCGGTGTGAGTCTGTGGGTCTCTGTGTGAGTCTGTGGGTCTCTGTGTGAGTCTATGGGTCTCTGTGTGAGTCTGTGGGTCTCTGTGTGAGTGAGTCTATGGGTACTCTCTGTGTGAGTCTGTGGGTCTCTGTGTGAGACTATGGGTCTCTGTCTGAGTCTGTGGGTCTGTCTGTGTGAGTCTATGGGTCTCTGTGTGAGTCTGTGGGTCTCTGTGTGAGTCTATGGGTCTCTGTGTGAGTCTGTGGGTCTCTGTGTGAGTCTGTGGGTCTCTGTGTGAGGCTATGGGTCTCTGTGTGAGTCTGTGGGTCTCTGTGTGAGTCTATGGGTCTCTGTGTGAGTCTGTGGGTCTCTGTGTGAGTCTGTGGGTCTCTGTGTGAGTCTATGGGTCTCTGTGTGAGTCTGTGGGTCTCTGTGTGAGTGAGTCTATGGGTACTCTCTGTGTGAGTCTGTGGGTCTCTGTGTGAGACTATGGGTCTCTGTGTGAGTCTGTGGGTCTCTGTGTGAGTCTGTGGGTCTCTGTGTGAGTCTATGGGTCTCTGTGTGAGTCTGTGGGTCTGTCTGTGTGAGTCTGTGGATCTTTCTGTGAGTTTGTGGGTCTGTTTGTGTGAGTCTGTGGGTCTGTCTGTGTGAGTCTGTGGGTCTGTCTGTGTGAGTCTGTGGATCTTTCTGTGAGTTTGTGGGTCTGTTTGTGTGAGTCTGTGGGTCTGTCTGTGTGATTCTGTGGATCTTTCTGTGAGTTTTTGGGTCTGTTTGTGTGAGTCTGTGGGTCTCTGTCTGAGTCTGTGGGTCTGTCTGTGTGAGTCTGTGGGTCTGTCTGTGAGTTTGTGGGTCTGTCTGTGTGAGTCTGTGGGTCTGTCTGTGTGAGTCTGTGGGTCTGTCTGTGTGAGTCTGTGGGTCTGTCTGTGTGAGTCTGTGGATCTTTCTGTGAGTTTGTGGGTCTGTTTGTGTGAGTCTGTGGGTCTGTCTGTGTGAGTCTGCGGGTCTGTCTGTGTGAGTCTGTGGATCTTTCTGTGAGTTTGTGGGTCTGTTTGTGTGAGTCTGTGGGTCTCTGTCTGAGTCTGTGGGTCTGTCTGTGTGAGTCTGTGGATCTTTCTGTGAGTTTGTGGGTCTGTTTGTGTAAGTCTGTGGGTCTCTGTGTGAGTCTGTGGGGCTCTGTGTGAGTCTATGGGTCTCTGTGTGAGTCTGTGGATCTCTGTCTGTGTCTATGGGTCTCTGTGTGAGTCTATGGGTCTCTGTGTGTGTCTATGGGTCTCTGTGTGAGTCTATGGGGCTCTGTGTGAGTCTGTGGGTCTCTGTGTGAGTCTGTGGGTCTCTGTGTGAGGCTATGGGTCTCTGTGTGAGTCTGTGGGTCTCTGTGCGAGTGAGTCTATGGGTACTCTCTGTGTGAGTCTGTGGGTCTCTGTGTGAGACTATGGGTCTCTGTGTGAGTCTGTGGGTCTCTGTGTGAGTCTGTGGGTCTCTGTGTGAGTCTATGGGTCTCTGTGTGAGTCTGTGGGTCTGTCTGTGTGAGTCTGTGGATCTTTCTGTGAGTTTGTGGGTCTGTTTGTGTGAGTCTGTGGGTCTGTCTGTGTGAGTCTGTGGGTCTGTCTGTGTGAGTCTGTGGATCTTTCTGTGAGTTTGTGGGTCTGTTTGTGTGAGTCTGTGGGTCTGTCTGTGTGAGTCTGTGGATCTTTCTGTGAGTTTTTGGGTCTGTTTGTGTGAGTCTGTGGGTCTCTGTCTGAGTCTGTGGGTCTGTCTGTGTGAGTCTGTGGATCTTTCTGTGAGTTTGTGGGTCTGTTTGTGTGAGTCTGTGGGTCTGTCTGTGTGAGTCTGTGGGTCTGTCTGTGTGAGTCTGTGGATCTTTCTGTGAGTTTGTGGGTCTGTTTGTGTGAGTCTGTGGGTCTCTGTCTGAGTCTGTGGGTCTGTCTGTGTGAGTCTGTGGATCTTTCTGTGAGTTTGTGGGTCTGTTTGTGTAAGTCTGTGGGTCTCTGTGTGAGTCTGTGGGGCTCTGTGTGAGTCTATGGGTCTCTGTGTGAGTCTGTGGATCTCTGTCTGTGTCTATGGGTCTCTGTGTGAGTCTATGGGTCTCTGTGTGTGTCTATGGGTCTCTGTGTGAGTCTATGGGGCTCTGTGTGAGTCTGTGGGTCTCTGTGTGAGTCTGTGGGTCTCTGTGTGAGGCTATGGGTCTCTGTGTGAGTCTGTGGGTCTCTGTGTGAGTGAGTCTATGGGTACTCTCTGTGTGAGTCTGTGGGTCTCTGTGTGAGACTATGGGTCTCTGTGTGAGTCTGTGGGTCTCTGTGTGAGTCTGTGGGTCTCTGTGTGAGTCTATGGGTCTCTGTGTGAGTCTGTGGGTCTGTCTGTGTGAGTCTGTGGATCTTTCTGTGAGTTTGTGGGTCTGTTTGTGTGAGTCTGTGGGTCTGTCTGTGTGAGTCTGTGGGTCTGTCTGTGTGAGTCTGTGGATCTTTCTGTGAGTTTGTGGGTCTGTTTGTGTGAGTCTGTGGGTCTGTCTGTGTGAGTCTGTGGATCTTTCTGTGAGTTTTTGGGTCTGTTTGTGTGAGTCTGTGGGTCTCTGTCTGAGTCTGTGGGTCTGTCTGTGTGAGTCTGTGGGTCTGTCTGTGAGTTTGTGGGTCTGTCTGTGTGAGTCTGTGGGTCTGTCTGTGTGAGTCTGTGGGTCTGTCTGTGTGAGTCTGTGGGTCTGTCTGTGTGAGTCTGTGGATCTTTCTGTGAGTTTGTGGGTCTGTTTGTGTGAGTCTGTGGGTCTGTCTGTGTGAGTCTGCGGGTCTGTCTGTGTGAGTCTGTGGATCTTTCTGTGAGTTTGTGGGTCTGTTTGTGTGAGTCTGTGGGTCTCTGTCTGAGTCTGTGGGTCTGTATGTGTGAGTCTGTGGATCTTTCTGTGAGTTTGTGGGTCTGTTTGTGTGAGTCTGTGGGTCTCTGTGTGAGTCTGTGGGGCTCTGTGTGAGTCTATGGGTCTCTGTGTGAGTCTGTGGATCTCTGTCTGTGTCTATGGGTCTCTGTGTGAGTCTATGGGTCTCTGTGTGTGTCTATGGGTCTCTGTGTGAGTCTATGGGGCTCTGTGTGAGTCTGTGGGTCTCTGTGTGAGTCTATGGGTCTATGTGAGTCTATGGGTCTCTGTGTGTGTCTATGGGTCTCTGTGTGAGTCTATGGGGCTCTGTGTGAGTCTATGGGTCTCTGTGTGAGTCTGTGGATCTCTGTCTGTGTCTATGGGTCTCTGTGTGAGTCTGTGGATCTGTGTGAGTCTATGGGTCTCTGTGTGAGTCTGTGGGTCTCTGTGTGAGTCTGTGGATCTCTGTGTGAGTCTATGGGTCTCTGTGTGAGTCTGTGGGTCTGTCTGTGTGAGTCTGTGGATCTTTCTGTGAGTTTGTGGGTCTGTTTGTGTGAGTCTGTGGGTCTGTCTGTGTGAGTCTGTGGATCTTTCTGTGAGTTTCTGGGTCTGTTTGTGTGAGTCTGTGGGTCTCTGTCTGAGTCTCTGGGTCTGTCTGTGTGAGTCTGTGGATCTGTGTGAGTCTATGGGTCTCTGTGTGAGTCTGTGGGTCTCTGTGTGAGTCTGTGGATCTCTGTGTGAGTCTATGGGTCTCTGTGTGAGTCTGTGGGTCTGTCTGTGTGAGTCTGTGGATCTTTCTGTGAGTTTGTGGGTCTGTTTGTGTAAGTCTGTGGGTCTCTGTGTGAGTCTATGGGTCTCTGTGTGAGTCTATGGGTCTCTATGTGAGTCTATGGGTCTCTGTGTGAGTCTATGGGTCTCTGTGTGAGGCTATGGGTCTCTGTGTGTGTCTATGGGTCTCTGTGTGAGTCTATGGGGCTCTGTGTGAGTCTGTGGGTCTCTGTGTGAGTCTATGGGTCTATGTGAGTCTATGGGTCTCTGTGTGTGTCTATGGGTTTCTGTGTGAGTCTATGGAGCTCTGTGTGAGTCTATGGGTCTCTGTGTGAGTCTGTGGATCTCTGTCTGTGTCTATGGGTCTCTGTGTGAGTCTGTGGATCTGTGTGAGTCTATGGGTCTCTGTGTGAGTCTGTGGGTCTCTGTGTGAGTCTGTGGATCTCTGTGTGAGTCTATGGGTCTCTGTGTGAGTCTGTGGGTCTCTGTGTGAGTCTATGGGTCTCTGTGTGAGGCTATGGGTCTCTGTGTGTGTCTATGGGTCTCTGTGTGAGTCTATGGGGCTCTGTGTGAGTCTATGGGTCTCTGTGTTAGTCTGTGGATCTCTGTCTGTGTCTATGGGTCTCTGTGTGAGTCTGTGGATCTGTGTGAGTCTATGGGTCTCTGTGTGAGTCTGTGGATCTCTGTCTGTGTCTATGGGTCTCTGTGTGAGTCTGTGGATCTGTG